AACTGTGGCTGATCTGAAAAAAAAGCTCATGGACAAATCTCAACACCTTGATGTCAAATGCATGTAATCATGTTTTAATTGTGCTGCTGGTAGAGTTTTTTGATGTCTCAAATCGTGTCCTGATGGACAAGATGTGAAAGATCTTTTTTTGTAATACCACTATCTACCCTCATGTTTCTCCCCCCTTTTCCTATCTAAGATTATTATCTGATAAGGATAAAATGGCCGCACTCTCCTGTAGTTGCAGCTTCGTGCACTTCGCCCATCTTTCAGACAACTGTACGTACATATTCGCGTTGTACCTCGGTGAAATTCCAATAAAGTTTATTCTGATATATATATATATATATATATTAAAATAAACTACTGCTACTTGTACTACTATCCCTACTTCACGGTTTTCACTTATTGCAGGGGGGCTGGGAATGGAACCCCACGATAAACAAGAGACTCCTGTATTAGTAACTAAAACCACTTTCAGTTGATTGTAGAAGTAGAGATATTTATTTAGCTGATTTAAAGTGTAACGAAGCATCTGTTTTCTCTCCCCTGACTGTTAGGTTGCCTTTAAGATGTACCTGGGAATTACTCCAAGTGTGACCAACTGGAGTCCAGCAGGAGACGAGTTCTCACTCATTTTAGAGAATAATCCACTGGCTGACTTTGTAGAGCTGCCAGATAACCACAACACACTCATCTACTCCAACCTGCTGTGTGGAGTCCTCAGAGGAGCCCTAGAGATGGTAACTTTGCATCTTCTTTCTTTTGGCTGCTCTAATATCAGGGGTTGCCACAGCGAGTCATCCTCCTCCATCTCACTCTGTCCTCTGCATCTTCTGTCATCATTCCAACTACCTCCATGTCCTCTCTAACTGCATCCATATATCTCTTCGTCTTTTTCCTGACAGCTGCATTTCTAACATCCTTCTACCAATATATCCACTGTCCCTCCTCTGGACATGTCCAAACCATCTCAGTCTGGCCTCTCTAACTTTATCTCCCAGTTGTTCAACCTGTGCTGTACCTCTGATGATTCCATCCCTAATCTTATCCATCCTTGTCACTCCTAAGGAGAACCTTAACATCTTCAGCTCTACCACTTCCAGTTCTTTTTCCTGCTTTTTTTGTTTTTTACCTTTTTTTAATCCATGCCACTGTCTCCTAACCATACAACTTAGCTGGTCTCACAACTTTCCTGTAAGATGGTAACTTTAGATATGGTTTTATTTTATTAGGGACGAGCTGACGGATATAAAGCAAGTATGATGATAAAACTACTGCTACAGCTCCTAAAATACATTTGAAAAACATCAAATTAAAAGAGCCCATTTCAACAAAAAGTGAATAAACTGAGTCATTCAGTGCGGTAAATTATCCATTAAGTGTTTATAGGTGGAAAATCTAAGTTCCCCGCTGGGCTTAGTGTGTGTTTATACTCAGGTGTGGCAGTATTTTCAGCTAAATGTTTCTGGTATATGTCCCACATTTCAGCTTGAAGGGTTTAAAACCCACTCCCTTCTTACAGAACAGCTTAAACTCTGGAATGTTGGTGGGTTTCCTCACCTCAGCTGCTTGCTTCATTTCCTTCTCCAGCGTTTTTGCTAAATTAAAGTCAGGCTCTTTAAAAATGTGAGCTTTGACTTTAATAGAACAGTTTATGTGTTCTCGGTCGCTCCCCGCCTAAATCAAGTTAAGTCACTTTTATTTATTTAGTACATTTAGTAAGGACATACGTTGGCTTCAAAGGACTTTCCATTTGGGGAAAATGAAAAATTGAAAAGAAAGCTATATTAAAAACAAATGGAAATTGTGCAAAATGGAAAACATTACAGGAAAAGCATGTTACAACAGAACAACTAGTTATAGCTTGTAAAACAAACTACAAACTGATACAAGATGGACAAAATGGATTACTTCAGCTTTTATATTCATTTTACTCGAGATAAAACTTCTCATTAAGCAAACTTTAAGTGTCACAACAGATAAAGTCGTCTTGTTAATTGTATTCTTTATTTTTGATTAATGTGTTCACAAGCTTTCTGAAGGTCTTTCAAAGTTTTGATGACCATGACAACATATTAGTCATTATGTGCTTAAAAAATGAAAAGAGGACAGGGGACAATTAAAGGACAGATAAATAAGTTTCAGGCGTATAAAGAAACTACCGTTATGTACGGTAGTTGAGTCATGTTTATAAGAAAAATGTCTTTCAGTTGATCTCATTTATTGTCGGTTTTGCTAAAATATCATTATATGTCTGCAAAATTGTTTATTTTAGGATTTTTTTTTTCCCAATTTCATCTAAAAAAATGGAACAAATTGTGTATTTGTGACAGACTGGTGGTAACAATGTGCTGTAAGATCTGATTTTAAACAAGTTCTTTAAGTTGTCCGTTTTGTGTTGACACATCACCAGTTTGTTCTCTGGGGTTGGGAAACTTTTATCCCTGAATGATTCATAGGTCAGAGTTAAGTGACTTAACTAAGTGTCCATCCATCCATCCCTCCATCCTTCCATCCATCCAATCTGCTTTTTCCGAAGTCATGTCGTGGGGGCAGCAGCTTGAGCAGGGAGGTCCAGACATCTCTTTCCACAGCCACCTCTTCTAGCTCTACTGGGAGGACTCCAAGGTGTTCCCAAGCCAACCGAGAAACGTAGTCTCTCCAGTGTGTCCTGGGTCTTCCCCCGGGTCTCCTCTTAGTCGGACATGGCCGAAGGGTGCATCATTACCAGATACCCCATCGACGAAACATTCTCTTAGAAATAACCAGACTGAAAATCAGGGTGTTCAAAAGAAACATTTTTAGAAAGCATGTGGTAATATTAATTAAGATCATTTTTCAAAGATTACTAGAAAGTTTGACTTTTTAGTGACAAAAAAAAAAAAAAAAAGAGCAATGACTCGAGACTTTAGTACGGTACCCCAACTGGTATAAATTATTCGTTGTCTGCACAGCAGCAATTAAAAAAAACAAAAAAACAACTGAGGTAAAATTCAACATTATCTACCTGTTCTTGTACAAATGGTTGGATTTTTACAATAGTTTTCAGTCAACAACATGCAGGAAGCTAAATAAAGCAAAATGGTGCCAAACCATGATACTACCACAGCCATGGTTTACAGATGAAAATGGTTTTATTTTATAAAAAGTGATTTCTTTTACTTTAAAGATAACGCTTCCTAATGACCCCAAAGGCTAAATTTTATCTCAAGATAAGAAGTGTTGGTGTTAATCAGAAATTGCTGTGAAGTTGGCACCTAATGACTGCAGATCCTTTAGGTTCACCTTTATTTCTCACTTATATTTAACCAGAACATCTTTAATCCACGCAACACCTTGAAGAGGTAATAACCTTTCTAGCGCCACTGTAAATAAAAACAAAGACGCTTCCTTCTGCAAGTATTTATATTCATGCTCATAAATGTGAATCTGGTTTAGGTCCAGATGGCGGTGGATGTGAAGTTCGCCCAGGACACTCTCAGAGGGGACAACATCACAGAAATCCGCATGAAGTTCATTAAGAGGATTGAAGAGAACCTTCCAGCCGGAGAGGAGTAAAGATCTAAAAAACGTTTCTTCTGAGACAACTAATTTATACAAGGAACAACTAAAGAACATCAGCAAAGCCTAACGGACATTTCTTCCTTGTAGCTTAACGTGTTTGAGAAGTTATGTGTGAACTACGGACTGTATATCAAGAATTCTAGACATCTGACTGGAACATGGAAGTTGAAGTTTGTTGAATCGACACATTGGAAATTTGTCGCTACCCCTCATTTATTAAAAAAACAAAAAGTTATGCCCTGATTCAAAAAAAAAAAAAATAAAGTTTATATGTTTGTTTAGTTATTTTAGTTTTTTTTTTAAAATTAATTTCAAGAGTTTAAAAACTATTGCTGCCAGCTGTCTGGCTTGGTAATTTATGTTACCTCAAATAAAATCCACATACATGTTGCGGTGCTTTCATGGGTTTGAATGACTTGTAAAAAGCTTATAAGAAGACCTTGAATAGTTTACAGTGCTCTCTTAAACATGCATGATACTCTGTCCTTTTTGTTGTTTATGCTTTAGATATCGTAGCCAAGCGGCACGGCAGAACAGTGGTTAAAGCGGTCTCCTCAGAACAAAGGTTGCAGGTTCACCTAGCGACCTGGGGCCTTTCTAGTTGGAGTTTCCATGTTCTTCCGGTGCACTTGTGGGTTTTCTCTGGGTGTTTTGTTTTCCTCAAATGAACCAAAAACAAAGATTCTAGGTTAACTGGTACTTGTTCCTATGTGTGGGTGTGAGTGGCATTTTTTGTCTTAGTTTGTCTTTATGTGTCACTGTGATGGACTTGACCACAGTGCCTGCTGGAGATAGGCCCCAGTTCTTCATAACATGGAAAGGAAAAGCAGGTAAAGAAAATGGATGGATGGCTACTCTATCTGCTCTTGCATAGGCAAACAATACCAGATGTAATGCTCATTAATACTTGTTCAAAACACACAGAAGTAATGTGTGTGTAGAGAAATCACACAAGTACTTAGTTGTGGTTGTCACACCTGTGAATGGTTTTACGTCACCCAGAAGTAACGAGGAGAACTTCCCCACAACACCCAATGCACACCTCGTCAATAATCGAAAACACAGATGGCTATTCACACACACGCACATCATTCCTATTCCCACTTTTTTTTTTAAATCGCAACAGGTCTGGTCTGGATATTATGGGTGCATTAGCCATGTTTTTCTTATTCTTCGTCTTTTTATGTGTTATTGTGCAACAGAAGAATAACATCAGTTCCAAACTCCCAAGTCTACTCGAAGCACTTAGAGGATGAGGATGTTGATAGGGATTTCCTTTCAAGAGAGCTCTGTCAGCTATTAACCACTGGAAAACTTCAAGGCTCTACACATCAGATGTTACAGCTGCTATCACCCCTGTCTGCTTTACTTCTGCAGGAAGTCGATGTGGAGATCTTCAAATGGCCACCAGAGGCCGCTGTCTACATTTCTCCTGGTATTGTCACTACAGTACAGTGCTGAAATGTGATGTACATTTGGCTCTTTAGGCAAACGATGGATGGGGTTAGAAAACTTAACAAGCAGGTGTTTTTCTTGCAGAAGCTGACCAAGTTTTTTTTTTTTTTTTCCCTGTGTCTGCATGTGTTCAGGTGTTTTTATTTTTAATTTAGCTTTTTTAGCCATCACAAAAATGTCTCAATAATTCAGTCAGGTTTCTAGATACTGAACTAAAGTTTAATGTGGTCGTAATTGAAAGCCATTCACTATACAGACTCTGAGATCAAGCATAATGCTTTTCCAAGGTTTGACCCAAACAGCGACCACTTTGTGTTTTCTCTATATCACGTGATCTTAAGTTTAATTTTGTTTATAATTGAGATTAGAAAAACAATGACATCACGCCATCTTCAAGCGGGTTTTTTTGATTACAGTATTGTCTGCTTTCTGTCTGGTGTAGTGATTATTTAGAGACATCAACAGCAGGAAGTGGCAGCGCCAAGAAGGCCAACAGTGAGCTGTAAATAACCAAAAAATAAGCTGTAAAAAAATGTATCTTAAAAAAATCTTGTTAAAATAAACAATTATTTTACCAGAACAAAATAAAATCATTAAATGTGAATTACTGAACATCAGGTCTCTTTCATCTAAGTCCCTGTAAGTTAATGACCTGATAACTGATTATTATATTGATTTGTTCTGTCTGACAGAAACCTGCATACGATAGGAGGATTTTGTTAGTATGAATGAATCCACTCCTGCTAATTAAATCATCATGTTCCTAGAACAACAGGTCGAGGTGTAGGAGTAGCTACTGTCTTTCAATCAGGATTACTGATTTTTGCTAAATCAATTATTAGTTATAATTCTTTTGAGTTGTTTCTGTTTCTCATCCAAAATGGTAATCAGAAAAACTACTTTTACTTGTTGTTATATATTGCCCGCCAGGCCCTTATTCACAGTTTTTGTCTGAATTCTCAGGGTTTTTGTATGACTTATATTACTACTGATGAAGTCATAATAACGGGGGATTTCAATAATCATCTATGTTTAAATATCCTGATGCATGCTCAATAATCCAGGCAGAAAAATCTAAAAATAGTTAAGTCTGGTCATCTGGACATTCAAAAAAAAAAAGTAGAAACGTTTCGTCTTTCATCCGAAATATTTCTTCAGTCTGAGGTGCTGTATTCAGCTCAGTCTCTTAAATAGCACCTTTGCGTAGTGGATCAACCAGTTTGCTGCTGACAACCAAAACCAGCTGATCACATGCTCAAGAAGGACCATCAGCCTAACAATGGATCATTAGCACACTGATGGCTGTTTACTATTCACAGGAGGCTGAGTGATACTAGCAATAACAGCATTCTAAGAGGGGGACAGTTGAACACGGAGGCCTCTGCCCCTGTTTAATTATGGACGGTTTCTTTTCACAAAGATGGCCTCCTTTACTCCTCTCTCAAACCATCGTTCCTCTCTGTCCAGGATGTGAACATCTTCATCCCTGAAAGAGTGACCACTGGCCTGGAGATGAGTGTAGACCGCAGAGTCCTGACCTGATGATGTTGCTCTTCTGTGGTGGGCCATCCTTTTGGCCCAGCACACATGTTTAAAGTGATAGCTTGAGCATAGCTTTTAATAATTTAATAGTCAGTTGGTTTTGCCCAAAATGTCCACACAACACATCTACTCATTCAACTCAGTTCATTTGTATAGAGCTAAGTCACAGCAGAGGTCCTCTCAGGGCACTGAGCAAAAACATTGACATATATTATAAAAGCCACTTAGTAAATGTTATCTATTTAAGCAAGCCAGCAGTTTGTGTTGAATCTTGCCTTCATTGCAGTACTCTCATCCTGAGCAAGTGCAATGGCAACAGTGGAAAGGAAAACCTATAGGAAGAAACCTCCAGCAGAACCAGGCTCAGGATGAGCGGCCATCTGCTTTGACCGGCTGGAGTTTGAGAGGACAGGAAGAAGAAACAGGCAAGCACAGAAGGACAGATCCAGATGTACTTTCAGTTGGAGAAAAGACATGCTAAGGATATAAATAATTACAAGTACAAACAGGTAGTAGAGCAAGTAAAGCAGAGTGATGAAATGTGGTCAGTTTGTCCATCAGCAGTGATGATGATTCTTATCATCACACTCTTGATCTGATTCTGACATATGGCATAGAACTGTTCCCAACCCTGGTCATCGAGGAACAATATCCTGCATGCAAAATAACCACAGGTTTTTGTTCAATACTAATGGAACATCCTGTCTCTGTTGTGCCATGTATCCCTACAGCTACAAGCAGTGATGACTTCATAAGATTCTTTATAAATAAAAATATTTCAGTTAGAGAGAAAATTCACACCAGCCTTCCTACTATTGCCTCTGATTCTCTGTCAGATGACGTAGCTTTAGAAATCTCACTAGAACTTGAGTTATGTTTGGACTGTTTTTTGTCCTGTTGAGCTCTTAGAATTGTCAAACAGCTTCATCCAAACATCAACATATCTGCTAGATCCCATCCCAACCAGACTATTTAAAGAGGTATTTCCCCTAATTAATAGCCACATTTTGGATCTGCTTAATTTGTCTTTAAGGAATGGTTACGTACCACAGCACTTTAAGGTTGCTGTAATTAAACCTTTACTTAGGAAACCTGATTTTGATTCAGGAATTCTGACCAATTATAAATCTATATCTAATCTAACATTCATCCCCAAAAAAATCTTGAGGAAATAGTTGCAAATCAATTGTGTGAACATCTAAACAGAAATCATCTCTTTGAGGAGATTCAGTCAGGGTTTAGAGCTCATCAAAGCACAGAGACGGGTAACAGGAGAAAGTTACTAATGATATTCTCATGGCCTCAGACATGGACTTGTGTCTGGTCGCTGTTAGACCTCAGTGCTGCATTTGATACAGTTAATCACAATATTTTACTACAGAAGCTTGAATCTGAAATTGGGATTGCAGGAACAACTTTAAAATGGTTTAAATCATATTTATTTGATAGACTCTAGTTTGTATATGTAAATAATGAATCTTCTTACACCAAAGTTATTCATGGAGTTCCTCAGGGTTCAGTGCTTGCAGGAATACTCTTTAATCGTTATAGTATATGCTTCCATTAGGTAAACAGCATGGGATAAAATGTTATTGTTAATGATACTTAGTTATATTTATACATGCAACCTGATTAATCCAATCAGTTACTTGGATTACAAGCATGTCTTAAAGACAGAAAAACCTGGATGACCTTTAGTTTTTTTATGTTAAACTCATACAAGACAGAGGTTGTTGTTTTGGACCTGAGCATCTTAGGAATACACTTTGCAGCTGTTCACTTCCTTTGGATGTCATTAATTTGGACTCCAGTTCTAATGTAAAAAAAAAAAACCTTGGTGTTATTTTTGATCAGGATATGTCTTTTAACCTCCACATTAAAAACATTACCAGGATTGCTTTCCTCCACCTAAGTAATATCACAAAAATTAGCAACATCTTGTCCAAAAATGATGCAGAAAAACTGGTCCATCACGTGTAGGCTGGACTATTGTAATTCTTGAATTATTTGGATGTCCAAAAAATTAAAACTCAAAAAATTCTTCAGATGATCCAAAAATTCTGCTGCCAGAGTTTTAATGTGAGGTGATAGGAGAGATCATATTACTCCAGTTTTAGCTTATCTCCTTTGGCTCCCTGTCAAATTCAGAATATAATTTAAAATCTTACTTCCAACTTTGAAATCTCTCAACAGCCTAGCGCCATCTTATAGTACAGAACTTATTGTTCAATATGTTCCTA